GTACCCGCCACCCCCCAGGCCCCGCCTCCGCGTTGCCTGGCAACACAGCGGCGCGGGACGCGGTGCGTCGAGGTACGTCGAGGTGCGTCGAGGTGCGTCCGAGGCCCTCGTCCCCTCCCCCTCCGGGTGGGCGGTGGAAACCGCTGCGCCTGCCGCGGGCTGTCCTCGGCTCCGAGGAGGCTGTGGGGTCCGGAGGCCCTCGCCGGGGCCCGGCGACGGCGGCGCGCGAAAGTCGAGGTTGACCATCATGCAGGTCAGAGTGCCAGGCCGCAGGCCACCCCGGGGCCCCCAGCAGGGCTCCCCAGCAGGGCTCCCCAGCTGGGCCCAGGGCCGAGCGAGAGCGAGCGGGAGGGCGGCCCACAGGCTGGTTCTAACCAGTTTCTGGTGAGAGCTAAACGTTGCGTGGTCTCAGGAGCTGAGAGGAGTCCACGTGGCCTCTAGGAGAGCGCCGTGGTTTTCGAGGTTGGTCGCCGGAGGTCAGTTGTTTGGGATTGTGTTTCACACCTGGATCTAGGAAATCTTACTAAGAAAGAAACCAGCAACTTTAGCCCAAGTGTAATTCGATTTAAGTAGTTGGCCCCGCTACCTTAAAAAACAGTCAGGACGAAAACCCTAGTTGCATCTATCTTGAGAAAGACCGAGCTGTCCGTGCAGCTTCTCCTGCCTGATCGCAAAAGCTCTGCTACACTTCTGTTTAACCTTCAGAAGTCTGCTCCCCTCGGTCTAAAGCTTCCTTATGAACCAGATGCCTGTGCTTTTGTTTCTTTATCAGAGTAAAATTCTCCCTTTCCGACTTAGAGAAACAGCTTCTTCCCACCTGCTCCCCAAATTAAAACCACTGTGATTTTTCTTGTTTTACCTATTTAATTTTAGTATTCATATGTACTGTGTAATTTATTAGGATATGTTAAACATAAACTACATATCAATAGTCCTTTTGTGTAGATTATAAGTTCCTAGCAAATATATTTAATCCAGTGTATGAAGACATTTCTGTACACTGTAGTGAGAAACCGGAAAGGAAATGAAGAAAACAGTTCCATGTATGATCACATCAAAAAGAATGAAATACTTAGGAATAAAGTAACCAAGGCGGCAAACGACTTGTACACTGAGCACTACAAAACGTTGCTGAAAGAGATTAAAGAAGACGTAAATAAGTAGAGAAACATCACACTGTTGTAGATTGGAAGACTTAATATTGTTAAGATGTCAAAATTTCCCAAAGCAATCTGCAGATTCAGTGTAATCCCTATCAAAATACCAATGATATTTTTTGTACAACTAGAAAAACCCATCCTAAAATTTGTATGAAATCTTAAGAAAACCAAAATAGAACAGTCTTGAAGAAATGAACAAAGATGGAGGACACACACTCTCTGATTTCAAAATATACTACATAGTTACAGTAATCAAAACAGTGTGGTACTGGCAGAAAGACATGCCGACCAATGGGATAGCACAGACTGCCCAGGAAGAAGCCTTCACATATCCAGTCAAATGATTTTCAGTAAGAGTGGGTGCCAAGACCATTTCTGTGAAAGGATAGTCTCTTTGACAGATGGTGCTGGGAAAACGATGTATCCACATGCAGAAGAATGAAGCTGGACTCCTAACTCAAATTATAAGCAAATATTAACTGAAAAAGAATCAAAGACCTAGAAGTGAGAACTAAAACTACAAGACACTTAGAAGAAAATGTTGGGGAAATTGCCGTGACATTAGATTGGCAATAATTTCTTGGATATGACACCAAAAACACAGGCAACGGAATTAAAAAAATAGATAAATTAGACTTCATCAAAATTTAAACTTTTATGGCATCAAAAGATATTACCAATAGAATGAAAATGCAAACCACAAAGTGGGAGAATATATTTTCAAAATATGTATTTGATAAAATATTAATATCCAGAATATATAAGAACTCCTAATGTTCAACATCAAAAAGATAAACCAATTAAAAATAAGTGTATAAAAAAATGCTTCACATCTGTGTCATCAGGGAAATGCAAATTAAAACAACAAAGACCACTACACACCTATTAAAATGGCCAAAACCTGGAACACTGACAATATACCAAGTGCTAGTGAGAATATGGAAGCAATAGGAACTCTCATTCATTGCTGGTGGGAATACAAAATGGTACAGACTTTGGAAGACAGTTTGGATGTTTCTTATAAAACTTAACATTCTTACCATTTGATCTAACAATCACATTCCTTGGTATTAACCAAAGGAATTGAAAACAATATCCACAAAAAAACCTGCACACAGATGTTTATAGCAGTTTTACTCACCATTGCCAAAACTTGGAAGCAACTAATATGTCCTTCAGTAGTGAATGGATAAACCCGACTGTGGTACATCCAGATACTGGAATATTATTCAGCACTAAAAAGAAATGATCAAGCCGTGAAAAGACATGGAGGAAACAACTGCACGTTACTAAGTGAAAGAAGCCAATCTGAGAAGGGTGCATACTGGATGATCCCAACTATGTGCCATTCTGGAAAAGGCAAAACTGTGGCGACAGTAAGCTCAGTGGTTTTCATTGGGAAATGAAGGGATGAATAGGTGAAGCACAGAGGATTTTTAAGGCACTAAAGACACTATTATATCACAGTGATGGACATGTGCCATCATGCATTTTTATCCTAACACCATAGAATGTACACCAGGACTTTGGGTGATTATGATGTGTCAATGTAGGTTCATCAGTTGTAACAAACATGTCATTCTGGTAGAAGATGTTGATAATGGGGGAGGCTGTGCATGTGTGCGAGCAGGACACATTGACAATCTTATACCTTCCCTTCAGTTTTACTGTGAATATAAAACTGCTTAAAAAATAAAGTCCTAATAAAAATTGCTGCTGTTTTATTTTGGCTTTAAATGAAGAATTTGTTTAAACAAAGGTATCACTCTGGTGGTGGATGTTGATAATGGGAGAGGCTATGCATTTGTGGGGACAGAAGGTATTTGGGAAATCTCTGTCCTGCCCCTCAATTTTACTGTGAACCTAAAAGTGCCCTAAAAAATTAAGTTTTAATTTAAAAATAAAATATAAAATGGGCAAAGAACTTGAATAGATGTCTCTCCGAAGAAGATATAAAATGGCCAATATACGCATAAAAAGATGCTCAGCATCTTTAATCATTAGAGAAGGGTAAATCAAAACCACAGTGGGAGACCACACCCATTAGGAAAACTATTATTAAAAACAAAATGATAAGCGTTGGTGAGAATATGGAGGAATTGGAACCCGCGTGCATTACTGGTAGGATTGTAAAATGGTGCAACTGCTCTGGAAGACATTGGGCAGTTCCTTTAAAAATTATACATAGAATTATTATGTGATCCAGCAATTCCACTCCTAGGTATATTCTCAAAAGAATTGAAAGCAGGAACTCAAAAAGATATTTGTACACATATGTTCATAGCAGCATTTTTCACATTAGCTAAAAGGTGGAAACAACACAAATGTCCATCATTGAATGACCAAAGAAACAAACTGGTGTGAACATACAATGGAATATTATTCAGCCTTAAAACAGAAGGAATTCTGATACATGCTTCAACATGGATGATCTTGAAAACACTATGTAAAATGAAATAAGCCAGTCACAAAAGGACAAATATAGTCACAAGCTGCAATGACTTTTTGGGTTAATAATGGACTGCATAAATGACGGTGGTCCCATAAGATTATAATGGAACTGAATTCCCTGTAAGAAATGGAAAGGTACGCGGTTCAGGAGGAATTTTTTTCTCTGATGGGAACAATATCTGGGAATTTGGCAATAGTTTTCCTCTCACAGCAGTCCAACTTTGAGTGCACAGACTACATCCCAATCAGCTACTGACCTGTTTCAGCACAGAGGAGCCTCTCCCTCCAGGGCTACGTATTCTGAGGATGTTACAGTGCTCTCAGATCTCGCTTGATGGTCTTCAGAGTACTCTGCTAGAAATCCTTTTTTGTTTAATCCGCACCCGAGTATATTTTTTCATTGTTCTTCAGAGAGAGTGGAAGGGGGGGGAAGAGAGAGAAAGGGAAAGAAACATATGTGAGAGAGACACATCGATTGGTTGCCTCCAGCGCTGGCCCCAACCAGGGCCCCAGGATCGAGCCTGCAACTGAGGTATGTTCCCTTGGCTGGAATAGAGCCTGGGACCCTTCAGTTCGAGGGTCAGTGCTCTGACCAGTGAGCCAAACCGTCTAGGGCTCACTGCTATAAATTCTTTGTTGAGGAACTAAAGTCCTGTACAAGGACACAGGTCCACAGGAGCCATCGTAAGTATTAAGTGCCACTGCTACTTTAGTACAGAGTGTCTGTGGTAGTGTGGAGCTGGCCTGTTCCTACACTTTGGAAATATTTTCAGGTTGTACTGATGTAAAGCATGAGTTTTATTTCTTCCATCAACTCAATGCCAGAGAATGCACTTTTTGCTAGATAGGGTTAATAGAACCAAAAACAAATTTCCAAAGTCAAACTATTGAGTCCTCAGTTCTACACCCTCTCCATGTTAAATATACTCTTTTTTTTTTAACAAGCACAAAATTCATTAATCTGACCACTTCTCCAACATGCAGTAGCCAAAACTACATTGCCATGACAATCCCCTACGTTCCCTTATCTCTCCTTCTTGATTTCTTATTTCTACTCTTCCTTAGTCACCATTCACTACCTCCTGACAGTCACTATTATGGTGATCCCAGCCAGTTTCTCCTCAGTATTTCCAATCAGGCCAGCCCACATTCCTGATCACAGAGCAGCACTGACAGCTTCAGTGTCCTATTTCTGACCCTATTGGAAGGAAGCAATGGGGTGGGCTTGTGGAACAATATTTATAAAATCTACAGTAGTGTTTAGCAATGTTCTAGGCCTTCACATTCACTCACCACTCACTCACTGATTCACTCAGGGCAACTTCTAGTCCTGAAAGCTCCATTCCTTGTAAATTCCATATACAGGTGTACCACTTTTTAACATTTTATACCATATTTTACATACTTTTCTATGTTTAGATACACAAGTACTACCAATGTTTTACAGTTGCTTACAGTATTCAGTACAGTAATATGCCTTATAGGTTAGTGGCGTAGTAGCAATAGGCTGTACCTGTAGTTAGCTGTGTAGTAGGCTAGACCATCTAAATTTGTGTAAGTGCACTCTATGATGTTTGAACAACAATGAAGTTGCCTGACACATTCCTCAGAGCATATCCATGTTGTTAAGTAACACATGACTATATACTGGACAAGATTCCCATATTTTATGTAAAATAGTACAATATTAAATCTAGGTAGACAGTAATAAGTTAAAGATACCAATTCTAATTTTAGGAGAAGTATTAAAACAGTAATGCAAAGATGTATACCTGAAAAGCTAGTTGCAAAATATAAAATTCTAAAAAATAACCAAAAGAAGGCAAGAAAGAAACAGAAGGGGAAAAAAGTAAATGAGACTAATAAAAAACAGAAAGAAGTAGCTCTAAGTCCAATATTAATAATTACATTAAGTGTAATGGACTAACAATTCAATTAAAAAGTAGAGACTATCAGAATAGACAACAGGGCAAGGTGCAACTATATATGATTGCTAAAAGAGAGACACACTTTAAATGCAAAGACACAGATGGGTTGATAATAAGAGGATTGAAAACAACTTTATTTAAACAGGAATAAGCTAGAGAAAAATTATATTAGTACCAAATGAAATAGACATCAAGATGAGGATTACTACTAGAAATGAAAAGAAACAATAATAGAAGGAGAAATTCATCAGGCAGCTATCACATATATAACTGTATTTGCATAATAACAAAGCTTCGAATACATAAAGCAAAAACTGACAGAATTTAAGGAAGAAGTAGGCAAAGTCACAATCATAACTTGAGATTTTAACACCCTTCTAATAACTGATAGAACAATAAGGTACAAAAATTACTGACAAAATGGAAGATATGAACAAATCTGTCAACCATTCACTGATTTGTAGAGAAATATATCCATCAGTGGCAGAATACACATTCTGTCAAGCATTCACTAAAATATACCATATGATGGGTCATAAAACAAGCCAATACCTTTTAAAAAAATGAAATCTTACAAAAGTATATTCTCTGACAAGCAGAATTAAATTAGAAAAGCTCAGATTATTTGAAAATTGAATAGTATCCTTCCAAATAATACAAATTCAGTAAAAAAATCACAAGTGAGATGAGAAATATTTTAATTGCATGATAAAAATAAACATACTAAAATGTGTAGGATGCAACTAAAGAATTTGTTAAAGGGAAATTTGTAGCTGTAAAGGGTTATATTAGAAAAGAAAGGCTTATAGTCAATGATCTAAGCTTCCACCTTAAAGAGAAAAAAAGATGAGCAAAATACAGTTGATCCCAGCCGGGCGTGGCTCAGCGGTTGAGTGTTGGCTTAAGATCCAGGAGATCGAGGTTTGATTCCAGGTCAGGGCACATGCCTGGGTTGTGGGCTTGATCCCCAGTCGGGGGTGTGCAGGAGGCGGCCGATCAATTACTCTCTCTCTCATCACTGATGTTTCTATCTCTCTCCCTCTCCCTCCCTCTCTCTGATATCAATAAAGATATATTTTAAAAAATACAATAGAGACAAACCACTTTTTAAATATTTGTATTACCTGTCAAGAGTTCCCCTTTTTCATTTATAATATTTGTTATTTGTGCCTTCTCACTTTTTTTAATCAGCCTTGGCAAATGTTTATCAATTTCATTAGTCTTCTCTAAGAACCAATTTTTAGCTTTTTAATCTTCTCTGTTATATATTCATTTTTCATTTTATCAATTCTTCTTTCACCTCTATTATTTCCTTATCTCTGCCTTTGGCTAATTTTGATGTAATTTTTCCAATTTTTTAGGTTGGAGGATTTATCTTAATTTTGAAGCCTTTTTCATTTTTTGTATGTCAAGTTAAGGGTATAAAATTCCTTTTATGAACTGTTTAGTTACAACTCACATATGTTTGATATGTGACTTCATTTTTCATTCAATTCCTAATGTTTTAAAATTTCCATTGTGGTTTCTTCTTTGACCCAAGGGTTATTTAGAAGTTTTTCCCCTAGTTACTGTTTCCTTAGTGATTTCTGTCTTTGGTCACTGTGCTCACATTCGTGGGCCTTTATTAAATTTCTCAGCCTCTTGGCCTCTTCCAGAATTGGCAGTTGATCCAAGGAGAATGCACCCCAATGTAGAGCTCTTCTAAGATATAACCTGGGAGTACGGGTCCTATGAAGCTATACAGCTGAAAAGATAAGCAAGTTCACCTGGAGGCCTTGACTGTATATATAAAAATAGAAACAAAACTGTGTGTGTGCATGTTGTGAATTGGTTTTGCCTACTATGTTCATCAGAGAATATTCCATAACTTTTGAGTTTACTTCATTAATATTTCATATGTGTTCTAAATTGTTTTTTTATTAAACATCTCAGTGTAATTTTGAGGGTAAAGAATGTATCCTGTTTATCAAATATATAGTCCCATTAGTTCTGGGAAATGGGGAAAAGGCAGACCACTTTGTTTCATTCTTTGAAACTAATTGTATAGTTATCTGTAGAGTTCATTGCATAGTTGGAAATGCTACATATCAATTTTACACATTATAAAATACACAACTATGTTAACAGATTTTCTATTTTTATATAGGATCCAAATGAAGATACAGAATGGAATGAAATTTTAAGAGATTTTGGCATTCTGCCTCCAAAAGAAGAGCCAAAAGATGAAATTGAAGAAATGGTTTTACGTTTGCAGAAAGAAGCAATGGGTATAGTTTTGTGTTTGGTGGGCTGGATGAAGGGGATAATACAGTTATTACAGTTATAGTTTATTTCATGAACTTAAAGGGAGGGAGGGCACTGGAAGTCATTTAATATGCCCCACCCATACTTTTGCTGATACCTTAAATTCCTAATTCATGTGTTGAAATTGATGTTAGTTAATAACAAAGCTGAAATGTCCTGGTACCTAACCTAGTGAGCTTTTTTTTTTTTTTTTTCCTCTCTACCATATTTCTCTATCTTGTGATTACCTTCTATTTTGATCATTCTATATAGTATGTATTATTTGTCAAGATTTCCTGGTACTTAGGGAAATCTAAAATTTGGGGTTCTAATTAATTAATTAATTTATTTATTATTATTAATCCTAACATGAGGATATCTTTTTTATTGCTTTTCAGAGAGAGTGGAATGGGGGGGCAGGGAGAGAGAGAGAAACATAGATGTGAGGGAGACACGTTGACTGGTTGCCTACTGCACGCGCCCAAACCTGGGGTAGGGAGCAAACTCAAAACCCAGGTATGTGCCCTTGACCGGTAATCGAACCTGCGACCCTTTGGTGCTCGGGAGATGCTCCAACCACTGAGACACACCAGGGCTAATTTATTTTTACCTCTACTTTTATATGTAGCCTGGTAGTTCTGTGAACTCTGAGGGAGTAATAACACTTCATACAAACCTGATGCAGTTAACCACAAAATAGCTTTATATATTACAGACACTGCAACATTAAAAAAGATAGCCTTGATCTCCATTTAGCTAATATTTCATTTTTTTCTAGATGTGACTATAAAGAAAAATTAATTTTTAAACAATTCAGTTGTCTGCAATTTATTTTTAGTTAAACCATATGAAAAGATGACTCTTGCACAGTTGAAGGAAGCTGAAGATGAATTTGATGATGAAGATATGAGAGCTATTGAAACATATAGGTACAGTGACCCATTGGGATAATTTATGAGTTTTGGAACGAAGTATTGTAAGAATGACACTAAGATAAAGCCCTATTTTGTCTATAGAATTGATTAAAAATAACAACCAATTTTTAAATAAGATTTTAGAACTAACTCATATAAGGTGAAATTTTTACCTGATTTTTTTTTGCCTTTGCATAAATTAAAAACTATCCAATAATATACCACAGAACTTTATCAAGTGACATATGAGTAAAATGGAAAATATCAGTGAATGGCCAATAAAAAGAGAGCCATGACTTTCCTTTTAGCATGATGTCTGTCAATGGTTTCTATCATTTAATAATTAATTGCCAGTGATAAATTCTCTCAGAAATTAGAATAAGTGCATATATTACCCAACTTATCTTGATGCTAAAACCAGACAAAGAAATTATAAAAATGGTATGCTATATAAAAATATCTCTAATGAATGTAGGCACAAGTTTAAAAATATATATATTAGCAAGTTAAGTCTAGCAATGTTGAAAAAAGAACAATAAACCCTGAACTAGTAGGACTGGTCCTAGGAATGCAAGGTTGTTTTAACACAAAAAACAGTGAATTGGACTAGAAGCAGCATTAGTCAAGTAGCAGTGAGCACACTTAGCACTCATAAAAATGGAACCAGTGTTCCTTGGAAAACTGCTTTATTCTATATCGTGAGTTGAGAAAGTACAATATGAGTCTTGAGCATCTTATGGTGCCAGCAAGTAAAGAAGTGCTAAATAATTTGAGTAGAAATTTCTCCAAAGAAGGTATACAAAGGGAAAATAAGCACATGGAAAGATGACCAACATCATTGGTCATTAAGGAATGCAAATCAAAACCACAGTGAGATGCCACTTCCCTCCCACTGGGGTGGTTGTAATGAAAAAGACAGGCGGTAACAAACGCACGTGGAGAAATTGGAGCCCTCACACATTGCTGGTGGGGATGCGAAATGGTACACTGCTTTGAACAACAGTCGGCAATTTCCTTAAATGTTAAGCGTATAATTACCATATAATCCAGCAATTCATATGTGTGCGTGTGTGTCCAAGAGAACTGAAAATACAAACATGTACATGAATGTTCATAGTAACATTATCACAGTAGCCAAAAAGTACAAGGAACTTGAATGTCCATCAGCTGGTGAGTGAATAAACAACATGTGGTACATCCCTACAATGGAATTTTTTTCAGCCATGAAAAGGCATGATGTTCTGATGCATGCTGCCACAGGATTGAACCTTGAAAATAATATGCCAAGTGAAAGAAACCAGTGACAAAAGGTCATATTTTATATGATTCTATTTATATGAAATGTCCAGGGTAAGATATCCACAGACAGAAAACAGATTAATTGTCATGGCCTGGGAAGGGAAGCAGGGAGAAACTGCTAATGGATATGGGGTTACTTTTGGGGCAATAAAAATATTCTGGAATTAGATAGTGGTGATATATGCACAACTTTGTGAATATTTTCAAAATCACCGAATTGTATACTTTACACAGTTGAATTTTATTGTATAAGAATTAAATTACAATTAAAAACTGAAGATTGTGGAAGAACTGGAACTCTCATATGACCACTTTGGAAAATAGTTTGGCAATCTCTTATAAAGTTACATATGCATTTAACATGTAACCCAGCAGTGTAAGCTCCTGGATATTTCCCTTGAGAGAACTGAAGATATATGTCAATACAAAGATTTGTATGTGAATTTTCATAATACCCAGAAACTGTAAACAATACAGAACTCCATCAATATGGTAAATGACTATGAGGTAAATGAATAAACAAGTTGTAGTACATTCATGAAATAGAATACTATTTTGTAGAATAGTAAACAAACTACTGATACACACAATAGCTAGTGAAAAGAACTCAGTGGGCTGGGACAACAACGTGGTGATTGCTGGGGGAGAGGATGAGTGGAGGTGAAAGAGGGTATGAGGGAATAAATGGTGATGGAAAAAAATTTAATTTAAAAACAACAACAACATTATACTGAGTGAAAGGAGCCAGACACAGGAGAGTATTTGATATATGATCATATATCATTTAAAAATTAGATTTTTTTAATGGAAATACAATTTCAAAATCTACTCAATAAGAGATAGAAATGCATAATTGGAAAGATAGCCTGCTTCCTAAAATTTGTTCTATAGCTGATTTTTCTCTACTTTCAAAGCACAGATAATCCCTATATTTTTATAAAGATGGAATGCTTATTAAGTTATTGCATATAACATAGTTATTGATAACATAATTTTATTATCACAATAGACAAGGCTAGTACCGACAGGATATAATGGGCTCACAGTTCTTAAGTTGGTTAGCCAAAATAATCACCTAGCATTGTTACTTAGGTTTCTTGTGTGAATTGACTTCATGATAATGTAATCAGCAAAATTTAGGCTGTGAGGAATTTTGAACAAGCACTCTAGTTTTCATCAACAAAGAAATTGCTAGGGGTAAAAATAGATGGAAAAGAATCTGGATTAAATGAGATTTAAGAGATATGATAACCACTTGTATAAATCTAATTGGATCCTCATTTGAATAAACAAATTTTAAAAAATGGAGACAGTACTTAATGCCACTGAACTACATGCTTAAAAATGGTTAACATGGACCTCTCCCAAGAAGGCATACGAACAGCCAATAGATATATGAAAAGATGTTCAACCTCTGTAGCAATTAGGGAAATGCAAATCAAAACTACAATGAGAGACCACCTCACACCTGTTAGAGTGGCTGCTGTCAACAAGACAGGTAATAACAGGTGCTGGAGAGGCCGTGGAGGAAAGGGGGCCTCCCGCACTGTGGTGGGAATGCGGACTGGCACAGCCACTGTGGAAAGCAGTCTGGAGTCTCCTCAAAAAATTGAGAAGAGTTACCATATAACTCAGCAATCCCTCTCCTGGGCACATGCCCGTAAAACTCAAAAACATGTATTCGCAAAGATATATGCACCCCTATGTTCACTGCAGCATAATTCACAGTGGCCAAGACATGGAGACAACCAAAGTGTCCTGCGATAGAGGACTGGATAGAGAAGATGTGGGACATGTACTCAGTGGAACACTACTCAGCCACAAGAGAGTATGAAACTGCCATTTGCAACAACATGGATGGACCCTGAGAATATGCTGAGCGAAATAAGTCAGTCAGCAAAAGCTAAGAACCATATGATTTTACTCATATGCAGTATATAAAACTGAAACTCATGGACACAGACAGCAGTGTGGTGGTTGCCAGAGGGAAGGGAGTAGGGGGTGAAGGGGGTCTTAATATATGGTGACGGGAGGAGATACGACTTTGGGTGGTGGCACACAGAGCGAATACAGATCTTGTAATATAGAAACCCACACCTGAAATCTGTATGTTCATATTAACCATAGTCACCCCAAAAAATGTAATGAAGTGTTATAAAAAATGGTTAACATGCTAAATTTTTAAAAATTTATGTTTATTGTTGAAAGCATTATAGATGTTCCCCTTTTTCCCCCCATTGATCTTCTCCACCCTGCATCTCCCCCCCCCCAGGCCTTTCCCATACTATTGTCTGCGTCCAACATGGTAAATTTTATGTTTTGTATATTTTACCACATAAAAGTTTTTAAATGGAGAGAATAGGATTATTTGTGTAATACCTGAATATATTAAGGAATTATTGTTTTAGATGTGATTATGCCATGTGAATTAAAAATTTAAAGTATCTTTTAGAGATATATAATGAAATATTTATAGATGAAATGATAATGATATATTTGCTTCAGAATGGCCCTTGAGATAAGGAGTCGATGGGGATAGAGAAGAAAGAAGATAGGCCATGAATAGAAATTATTGACAGAAGATGCATATATCTGGGGTCTCTTTAGTTTTATTTATATTAATAACTACCCATAACATAAAGCTTAAAATGTTAAGCTTATATTCCTGAGTCCAGCACCAATAGTAATATTCAGTAAGTTTGGGTTGGGTCTCAGGAATATGCCCATGTATGGAACCTGCCATACCCAAGTAGTATTCATACAGGATGTCCACATGCCTCAACTTGAAAACATTGCTTTAAACCAGTATCACTTTTGACACATAGTTGCAAAAATCTTCAAAAGAGCATTAGCAAATAAAAGAATATATTAAAATAATCATAGGTAGTGACTAATTAGGGTTTATTCAAGGAATGCAAGGATTATTTAATGGTAGCAAACCTACTGATATAATCATTTATGTCAACAGAACTTAAGATAATGCTAACTGCTATAACAACTACAAAATCTCAGTGGTTTCACAGAGGAAACTTCCTCACTCACAGATGATGTTTGTCCAACAATTGTCCTGAGCAGCTCTCCTCCAGGTGATGGCTAAGTATCTGGGCTCTTTTCTTTAGTAGTGACATCATCTCAGAATCCTTTACTTCTGGCCTTGTGGACTAGGGAGACAGTGTGAAGGGTAGCGTGGGACATTTCAGGGAGGGGTTATAGAAATACACATGCACTTTCACTTGTGTGGTATTGGGCATAATCCTGTCTCATGGCCCTAATCTAACTGCAATGGAAGCTGGCAAATGTAATCTTCCCGAGACCTCTGCAAGAGGAAGCTTTGCTGATTGATGGTCACCGACCAGTCTCTGCCACAGAGATTAAAGAGTAGCACTATACATAGAAGTTATTTCACTTGTATAATCCACATCAAAAGTCCAATTCTGCCACTAAATTATGGCATTATTTCCATATCTGCTGTCACTTTTGACCTAAGGAAAAAGGAACCTGTAGCCTTTCAAAATTTGACTTGATCTTAAGATAAACTTCTGTAGTTACCTTGATAGTGCTGATTTAAAGCAAATTTTCCATTTAAAGCCAAAACAAAACAGCAACAAAAATATTTTCAAGACTTTTTTTTTAAAAGCAGTTTTAGATTCATAGCAAAATTGAATGAAAGGTATAGAGATTTCCAGGATACTTTCCCCCCACATATATAGCAAGCGGCCTCCATTATCAACATCCCCTGCAAGAGTGATATATTGGTTATAATTGATGAACCTACATCAATATATCATAATCACCCAAAGTTGATAGTGTACATTACACTTCATTCTTGGTGTTGTACATTCTATGGGTTTGGGAAAATGCATGATAACATGTATCCATCATTATGCATCATAGAAAGTATTTTCAGTGCCCTGAATATCCTCTGCGCTTTGCCTATTCATCCCTCCCTGTTGCCAATCCCTGGCAACCACTGATCTTTTTAGTATCTCCATAGTTTTGCTTTTTCCTGATTGTTTTATATAGTTGGGATCATACAGTAGCCTTCTCAGGTTGGCTTCTTTCATTCTTTCACAACATGCATTTAAGTTTCCTTGATGTCTTTTCATGGAAAGGTCATTCCTTTTTAACATTGAGTAATATTCCATTATTGGATGTACCACAATTTATTTATCATTTACCTACTGAAGGATATCTTGGTTACTTCTAAGTTTTGGCAGTGATGAATAATGCTGTTATAAACATCTGTGAGCAGGTTTTTATGTGGACATAAATTTTCAACTCCCTTCTACTAAGAAGCACAATAGCTGAATCATATGGTAAGAGTGTGTTCAGTTTTATAAGAAATGTTCAAACTGTCTTCCAAAAGCTGTACCATTTTGCATTTGTACCACCAATGAATGAGAGTTCTTGTTGCTTTGCATCCTGTCTGGCGTTTGGTGGTGTCAGTGTTCCAGATTTTGTCCATTCTGTTAGGTGTGTAGTGGCCTCTTGTTGTTTTAATTTGCATTTTCCTGAAGACATAGATGTGGAGCATCCTTTCATATGCTTATTTGTCATCTGTATATCTTCTTTTGTGAGGTATCTGTTATCTCTTTGGCCCATTTTTAAGTCAGATTTTTTTTCTTGTTGTTGTGTTTTTAGAGTTTTCCTAAATTAAGGATAATAGTCCTTAATCAGATGTGTTTTTTGCAATTTTCTGCCAGTAACTGCTAAGGAAATAGGTTCCTAGAGAGAACAGTTGTTACAGCAGTTTTCTGATCCCCAGAGAGTTTGATTCCAGGGCACAGTTGGAACAGTAGCCCCATATTTCCCAAGTTTCTGGATTGTAGCAGAGAGCTTGTTCCCTCGGCAGGCCAACTTTGTGGTGTTGTTCAGGGAGCCCTTCTGGTAGCCAAGTTTAGAGCCTCCTTCTTTCCACTGAGTTTGTAAAGCACTTAATTTCACAGATTAAGCTTCTTGCTGCTTAAAATAGCTAGAGGGCTTTCTGCTTATGCAACTGAGTCCCAACTGGTGTGATTGTTGGGTGTAAAATGCAGGCTGCGAAGCACTAAGTCACTTCCTGGTGGCAAAACAACCCAGGCCTTTCTGTCTCGCTGCCAATTGCACTGAAGTTGCAGAGAACAGTGAGGAAGGAGGGGAGCTGATGGTCGCACCGCTAAGGAGGGCATGGTGCCGCTGTGGGAACAAAAACTTTCTGAAATTTTTGAAAGAGATTAAGCCAGTGAGATCGAATTGAGGAATTTGATGTTAAATACTCAATGCAAACAAAATTCAGCTCCCAAAAGATCTTTGGAGTAGCTAGCTTCTGAATATGTGGGTGAGTAGAGGGAAAACAGGACTTCAGTTTGAGAATTGTGGGAGGGCCCTAGACGTGGATTGTTGTCCTTGGCTTTCTCCTCTAGGCTTCATTCTGCTTGGATCACTTCTTATGTAGAGTGGCTTTACCTGACATGTTTCTAATTTGTGAAATAAGAACAGAGTGTTTTAAAATATACCCAGGATTCTGTATTTATTCAGGTATAGTAAAGCCAACAGATCAGGGGATAATTGCTATTGAAAAGATAGCTAAGCAGATTTAGGACTGGCTAGTTTAAGTAATTTTGGCCGGCTGGGGGCTACAGTGGCTGTCTCTAGTTGTTTGGTACCTGGCCCAGGGATAAATAGGGCAGAGGGACAGTGGCTCAGAGGTGATTGAGGGATTGGGCTCTGGACTGGTTGGTTTGCATTTGAGAAATTTGCTCTCTAGAAAGAGGTTGCTATCTTTTGGAATTTGGAGGGGCAGCCTGTCCAGGATCAGCAAGACCCCAGATGCCAGAGCATCAAGAATACAGAAAATATAGTTAAAACACAGAAAGAAGGGAAGTAAGTATTCCCAAGATAACCTAGAGATATTGAATCAGTAACTTTTAAGAAACTTGCACATGCATCAGAAACCATTTGGATCTGCTTCATGGATCCAAGCGTTCAACAGCTGAATCAGAGTACGTAAGTTTTGAGAGTTTTAGGAAAGTTTTAAGGCTCCCTGTGGATGAATACTAGGTAACATGGAATGCTCACTGTGTGCTAGGTACCATCCTAAGAAATTTCCCTCTATTATTTCATTTAATTCCCAACAATCCCATGCAAGTAGGTATTAGTATTATTTCCATTGCAGTTGGGGAAACTGAAACTTAGAGAGATCAAATAACTTGCCCAAGTTCATGCTGCTGGTAAGTGGGAACGGTATTTAAACCCAGTTTAGTCTGACCTTAGAATTCGCACTCGGCGTTCTTCTCTATCACCTCTCTCTACCTGCAATAAATTTTATAACAAGTAATTATACATATTCACAAAGGCTTTGGACTGAAGGTCAGCTTAGCATGATAGTTAAGAGCATGTAATGGGGATAATAATAGTATTAACTTTATAAAGTTTTTGCAAGGGTTAGTTTATGCAATGCCCTTAGAGCAGTGCCTGGTAACATAATAAGCACTCTATAAATGTTAGAATAATAATACCATTATTATGATTATTATATATTCTCTCTTAATAAGTATTTAACCTGTATATAAGAATTTGTTGGTTCGGTGCCTGAATAAACTATAGCTATGATTAAGACCTAGTCTTAAATAAAAATAACAGTCAGTAGCTAACATTTTACTTGCAAGACCCGTAACACAAATTCCCATATAAACAGAGAAATTGGCATTGTAATACCATTAATAGTTATTCTGTCATTTTGTTGTTGTTAATCTTTACTCGAGGATAATTTTTCCATTGATTTTTAGAGAGTGGAAGGGAGGGAAATGGGGGAGGAGAGAGGGAGGGAGGGAGGGAGAAAGAAACATCGATCTGAGAGAGGCTGCCTCCCACATTCGCCCCAACCAAGGCAGAGATCCTGCAACCAGGTACATGCCTTTGTCTGGGAATTGATCCCTTGGTCCCCTTGGCCCCTTGGTCCATGGGCCAACACTCTAACCACTGAGTAAACCAGCTAGGGCTATTCTATCATGTTTTAAAGTGTTTGACATATCCTGGCTTTACATTCATTGCCCTAAATTGTCACAGTGCATGAGAATGACCTTATGAATATAACAGATTTCTTAGGTAATTGTATTTCATTTTTTAATTAGAGAAAAGCGGTTACAGGAATGGAAAGCTCTTAAGAAAAAACAAAAATTTGGGGAGTTGAGAGAAATTTCTGGAAATCAGTATGTGAATGAAGTCACAAATGCAGACAAAGATGTATGGGTTATAATTCATCTATACAGATCAAGGTAATTACCATTGTTTTTGTAAAATATTAATATACTAATGTTTACGATACATTACGATTTCTGGTTTTAAGGGTTTAAAAAGCACATAACGAGTACTCACCAAAAGGAAATATGCATCTATATGTACATATATGTAGAGACTCAGGAGCTTCAGGGATTAAATTAGGTATTTTAATATATTTTCATGTCTAATTTAAAGAGCTTGTCACACTTTTTAGAAAATATAAGCAACCTTTGGCAGTTAATTTAAATAAAACTTGTGGAAAATTTCAAACATGGAAATAAGGATACAACAAGCCCCTAAATACTATCAGGTAGACTCAGCAGGGCACGCTGTGCTGTGTTTGTATTGTGTGTGCACGCGCGCGCGTTTGCAGAACAAGTTAGAAGTAAGTTACACACAGCATGACAGTTTTATCTTAAGTACTTCAGCATGCATTTTCAAAATAAGGGCAGTTTTCTGTATAACCACAATACCATTTCCCCTTCTAACAGTAACATTTTCTCACCTAACAAAATTAACAGTAATTCCTAATAGCATCTAATATCCCGTACTTTCTTAAAATTTCTCAACTGACTTCAAACTGTCTCTTACAAATACATATATTTTTGAACAGGATCCAATCAAGGGTCAGTCAGTGCATTTGGATATACCATATCTCTTGTCTCTTTAACAGAACAATTTCCTTGCACCCCCGCCCCCAGTTAATTTTAGAGTGCCCAATTATACTAAGTATAATCCATATGCCCCCCTGTTCATCAGCCTGGTGTAATGATAACTGGGAAGAGTGGGCTTTTCCCCAACCCTGTGCCAAAGAGGAGCTGCAGCTCCCATAGTTTCACAAATCTCTCGTAGAAACAGCGCCTCTAGAGTTGGGTCCCAGGCCCTCTGCCTGGGCTCCAAGCCAATCCAGAAACTGAGGCCATGACAGCAGCCCTCCTTGTCCCTATTTTATTGTCTGAATAAAAAATGTCTTCTCTCTTCATAGAAGAGAAATTCTGTACATAGCAGCAATTTATGCAAATTAGAGCCCAGCTGTTTACCAGCTCACCAGTTCCTCAGAGAAATTTTGATAGGAATCATACCCCATAAAAGAAGACATTATTTTTACTATCACTAAAATGCTTGGTAAATAATAATTTTTTAGTAGTTTAAAGTCTTAAAAATAATCATTTCCCATTTATCCTATCCCACTTATCTGGCTAAACCAATTGGAGATTTGCTGATTTTGGTTCTTCACAAATAAGGATGTGAAACAGCAATATCTCCAGTACTAGGATTTGTGTGTCACAAATGTTATGTACTGAAGTGGTGCACTGCATGCCTTTTCTGAGACCCATTATGAGAAGCAGAATAGGTGTTGGTTCTGAATTACCATACTCTGGTATAAAATTATTTTAATGGTTATTTCTAGATAAATTACCAATTTTGACCAGTTTTGACCAATTTTCAAAAACTCATAGAAGAGGTTGAATGCATTTTAGTCTCCAGGTTTTACAAACTGTCATATGCTTTGATGGACTTAAAGAGTAAGGATTCATTTTTATAATATATGAAACATTTGTGAACCCAGAAGGTTTTGGGGGCAATCTAAGAAAGTTATATAAAATATTAGTTTTCTTGACATTAAGGAAATGCATTCTTGTGTCAGTATAAAACATACACTTTAAGAAAATTAATCTATAATCAAATTTGTAAAATGGGAAAAAAATTATTTGTGTTACATTCTCTATAAAGTCTAGTTTTTAATAATGGATTTACTCATAACGTTTACTAATAACTTTCATATTGAAAAGTGAAGTATAACTATTAAGTTTGTATTTCTAGCTGCCTTTTATAGGAGGGTAAGAGTTTGATTTTTTACTAGGTTCCTAAGTTTTATAATTTTAATATTCTGTTGCCACTAAATTTATAGAACTGGGCCCATTCTTCATCTAAGTGAATGTTCAGCCTGCTTAGGGTACCTTAGAGGAGTTTAAGTAACCTGGGCTGATGAGCCTGGTAGCTCAGCTTAATGTTAGCTTTGTTTCTGATTTTATTCAATCTTACACCTGTGCCCAAATTTTGATTTAGGGGTGGGGCGTCTATATTATTCTTATATTGCCTAGATCCTAGGTCGATGCTCAATCTCTGAGCCACGCCCAGCCGGGCTCCAACTGCATATTTTGAACCTCACATACCATAACTAGGCTCTTAACTTCTCTGATGTCAGAGGTCTCATTATTTTATAATTCTTACTGAGTTTAATTCTGGCCCCTGAACCCCAAATCCAAATTTGTTCCCCTACCACTTGCTGTTGTAACTATTTTCAAGCAACTGCTTCCTCCCTGCATCACAACCTGTTAAGCCATGCTCTCTTAATTCCATACTCTTCACTGTCACTACCAATGCTCACCTGCCTTCTGCCATTCACACCACCCACCTCATAAGTGTCTATTACACCACTGACTCAGCTCTCATTCTGACTGTAATGATAAAATTAATCTAAATTAGATATTAGTGGATTCAGTTCACCTATTTGAAGAAACCTGAAACTTATAAAGTCAATTTATGTCATTGTTTATATTGGAAAATTGATATTTAAGTTAGGTAGTACATACTTTTTAAATATTACTTTTAGTAGGCCACCTACTAAAATAAAGCAGTGTCTACATTTGTAGCATGTTATAATTATCAAAAGAAATGGTATATATATATATATTCTGAAATGTAAATGAAACATAATTATTTAACTTATTTTTGTTAGCTTCTTGCTAACAAAATTGATAACATCACCTAGTATACTAGAGGGAGACAATTAAATATAGTAATAATGAAGTCTTTTAGGTGCTACAGTTGAATTCTATAGAGTAGATTAAAGGCACTGAAGAGGGAGTATTAAGTTCTACCCTGAGAGGAAGGAAGTATGGAACTTTCTATAGAGTAAATAATTCTTGGTATAGGCCTCAAAAAATAAGAAAAGATCCCCCAAGTTTACAGAGTTGGAGGAAGGAGACAGGCTGAACTGGGTATTTTAGATGGAGTGTACAACTTGAACAAAGGTACAGAAATAAGAGACACCATCTTGCTTTGGAGTGCTTTGAATAATATGACAGCCAGCAGAGAATAATGCTGGAGAGAGAGGCAGAATCCAGACCAGGGAGAACCTTGAAAGCTGTATAAAGCTCACACTTTATTCTGAAGTGAATGAGCCATTGAAAGATTTTAAGCTTGAGGGAAGGGCAGTTGTTACACATGAGATTTTCATACTGAGCTCCCTTTGTCAGCAGGGTCAAGGATGAATTTGGAGAACCAAGCCTGGAAACAGATCATTTAGCTCAGATAAGAAAGGAAAGGAGTAAGGCAATGGAGAAAGAGAGGAGAGGCTGAGTATGAAATTAGAAGGTAGAAGCAATCTAAGCAATATTCTATTACTGATTAGATGTTGTAGAAGAAAGGGAGATTTTTGGCCTGAGTGCAAGACTAAGAAAATACAGAAGACAATGCATTATGGTAGAGTTTAAATGAGAAAAGCTATGGAGAACTCCAATGAGCAGGCCATGGGCCAATATCAAGATAAGTAAATGATTGTATTTTGTATATGTCAGATGAAGATAAAAAAAAGATTTTTTTGTGTGAGTAATTCTCTGCTTTGACTTTTTTTTCAACCTTTTGACCTTCCCTCATGGGTCTCTCCCAACCCCCCTCCTCCACCTCTGGCAACCACCAATCTGTTTTTTTGGTATCTGTGACCTTCTTTTTTGTTGTTCTTGTAGGTTCCATATTTAAGAGAGATCATAAGGTATTTGTCTATCTTTCATACAGCACAAAGCCCTCAAGGTTTATCCATGTTGTTGCAAATGGAAAAAATCATTCTTTTTTTTATGGCTGAATAATATTACCATATATATATATATATATGGCACAGTTTCTTTATTCATTAATCAACTGATGGACACTTAGGTTGTTTCCATATCTTGGCTATTGTAAATAATGCTCAATGAACATAGGGGTACATTTTTTAGTTAGTTTTTTCATTTTCTCTAGATAAATACCCAGAAGTGGAATTGCTGAATCATATAGTAGCTCTGTTTCTAATTTATGAGGAACCTCCATACTGTTTTCCATGGTGACTGCACCAAATTACATTCCCACTAACATGGTTTCCTACGTCCTTGTCAACACTTGTTATTTCATAACAGTCATTCAAACAGGTGTGAAGTGATTACTCATCATGGTTTTTATTTGCATTTCTTTGATGATTAATGATGTCGAACATCTTTTCATGTACTTGTTGGACATCTGTATGTTGTCTTTGGAAAAAATGTCTATTTACATCTTGGGCCCACTTTTTTTTTATTGTTTGGTGTTTTGCTATTGAATTGTATGAGTCCTTTATATATTTTGGATATTGGCCCCTTATCAGATACTCAACTTGCAAATATTTTCTCCCATTCAGTCGATTACCTTTTCATTTTGTTGATGGTTCTTTTGCTTTGCTTTTTAGTATGATATAGTCCCATTTATTTATTTATTTATTTATTTTATTGCTTTTGCTTCTGGTTTTAGGTTTAAAAAATCATTGCCAAGATCCATGTCAAAGAGCTTACTGCCTATGTTTTCTTCTGGGAGTTCTGTGGTTTCAGGTCTTATGTTCAAGTCTTTAATCCATTTTGAGTTCATTTTTGTCTATGGTGTAAGATAGTGGTCAAGTGTCATTCTTTTGCATGCGGCTATCCAGTTTTTCCAACACCATTTATTGAACAGATTGTCTTTTCTCCATTGTATATTCTTTGCTGACTCTTCTGTCATAAAATAATAGGCCATATATGTATGGGTTTAATTCTGGGCTCTCTGTTCTGTTCCACTGACCTATGTGCCTGTTTTTTGGCCAATACCACATGGTTTTAATTACTGTAGCTTTGTGGTATAGTTTCAAATCAGAGAGTGTGATGCCTCTTGCTTTGTTCTTTCTCAAGATTGCTTTGGCTATTCAGGTATTTTTTGTGGTTCTGTACAAATATTAGGATTATTTGTTCTATTTCTTTGAAAAATGCCATTGGAATTTTGATAGGGATTGCACTGAATCTTTAGATTGCTTTGGGTAGTATGGACATTTTAACAATATTGATTCTTCCAATCCATGAGCATGGAATATCTTTCCATTTATTTGTTTTTTTCTGCCATTTCTTTCATTAATGTCCTATAGTGTTCAATACATAGGTCTTTGACCTCCTTGGTTAAATTTATTCCTAGGTATTCTATTCTTTTTAATGCAATTATATATGATATTGTTTTCTTTATCTTTCTGATAGTTTGTTAGTGTATAAAAATGCAACAGATTTTTATATATTGATTTTTGTATCTTTCAACTTTACTCAATTTGTTTTTTAGTTCGTACAGTTTTTTGATGGAGTCTTTTGGGTTTTCTATATATAATATGTCATTTGCAAATCGTGACAGTTCTACTTCTTTCTTTCCAATTTGGATGCCTTTTATTTCTTTTTCTTGCCTAATTGCTCTGGTTAGGACTTCCAACAGTATGCTGAATAAAAGTGAGAGTGCATATCCTTGTCTTGTTCCTGATTTTAGAGGAAAGGCTTTTAGCTTTTCACAGCTGAGTAGGATGTTAGCTGTGGGCTTGTCATATATGGCCTTTATTATGTTGAAGTACTTTTTCTCTGTACCCACTTTGTTGAAATTTATGAAACAAGTTTAGCAAAAATGTATTGAGAATAAAAGCCAGAAACTGATAAAGATAAACCAAACAATATATATAAATATAATTCCTCTCCCAAATATTGATTAGAACTTAGTGCATTTTCATTGATTTCCATTGTCAGGGTTTGTATAAATGGAGCAAGAACTCAAATGCATGCAAGGCAATTTGAGTGCAGAAATCTGTACTTTCCCCTGATTATTTACATTTGTCTGGCCCACATCTAAACATCATTTTTTTCTTAGTAACTAACCTTTATCAAGTTTTTCTAAAGCTTGCATTTGATTTTCACAAGAACTGCAATGGTTTTTCTTGTCCCACTTTCGTTTATTTGTTAATTATAATAAAATGTGCAATTTTCAAATTATAATAAAATGCACAAACAGGTGTAGAGAGAAAAAGCACACAAACGTCCAGAAGGGTCTTCATCTGCCTAGAGCATGTAGCATGCCCTGGCATGAGTCACTCAGTTAAGAGAGCTTGATTTATTGGGTGTGACAGGTTTTAGGAGGTGAGAATACTAAAAGGGAATAGGATGCTTCTATGGTATCATGAAAGAGGCCAATTAAACATTATATATATTTTTTGAAAAGACATACAAAGCAGTACAAGAGAAAAAAATACTAATTGGTCTGTTCAAAGCAGCTTTCCCTGATTGACAGAGATCACACTAATCTTTCTCTCCTCATACACTGTTATATACCATATGAATGATGAGGAATGAATACAAGGACAAAGGAAGGCTGTACTTCTATCAAATTGAGGTTTATTAAAAGAAAATAGAAGAGAAAGATTAGGCTTCTTTTTCTTTTGGTTAAGAGAGGAGAGGAGATGAAGTTCATTAGCTGTTTACATAAAAATGGATAAGATTGCCCAGAAAATGTGTCTGGAGTGAGAAGAGGGTCCAGGACACAGTAACAAGGAACATATACATTTGAGGCATAGATAGGAGAAGGCAGTCAAAGCAATAAAAAGGAAATTAATAGAAAGTATTTCCACAGGAGCCAAAATAAGAGAGCCTTTCAAGAAGGGAAGTGAACAGAACATAGAGATTTCCATTTCCTTTTTCATCTGGGTTGTGAACAGGAGAGAGAGTAGTTATTACGAGGGGACAGATAGTTATAAGGGACTTTTAAAAAATTTACTAACTTGAATATGTTTATGCAAAGTGGAAAAGGAAAGATTGAGAAAACAGGAAAGGAGGAAAGCAGAATAACAGAGAAAAGTCCCATAGGAAATGGAAGAAGTATGAGATAAAGTAGCTTTGCAACATTTTAATAAAGCTGTGAGTGACTGATAGACTGGGAGAAAAGGGACCAATCAAAGAATCGAAGTCATGGGAGTTAGGTGGCAAAGCAGGAAGAATCGCACGGTTTGGTCACACTTCCAATTTTAAATTTCCAATGAGGAATAGTTCTGAATTGTGGGGAACAGGATGTGGCTGGAGTGGGATGTCGAGGAAAAGTGTGGGTGATCTTTGTTAGAGTCAAGAAATACAAGGAAGTTTGAGATAAGGAATTTTGGATTTGATAATCTCATGTGAAAATAAACCTGTGATGGTGACAAGAGCTGGGATCCCCTTTCTTTTAACTCTGAACTGCCACAGGTTCCCTAGAAGTGTCATTTATTTTTTTTCTCTCTCCTATGTCTTACAAACTAGGAACTGGCTTGATTAAATTGATGCTAAGTCAGATGTGGTTAGCCTTAGTTAGGCATCAAGTTCCCTTGGTAGCAAACTTTATTCCCAGGTTATAATGGTGTTTGTAATGAAAATCAGAGGACTCTACAGTTTGTCATTACTCAAGGTAACAATAGAGATGATATTGATATGTTCTTAGGTATTATTAAAAGAATATGTAAAGATATATTTTTCTTATAGAGATGTTTCACTTATTTTATTAGACTGAGATGAGTAGTTTGTTTTTTAAAGATATTGTATGTACTATTTCTCTTTTTAGCATTCCAATGTGTTTGTTGGTTAACCAGCATCTTAGTCTTCTAGCAAGAAAGTTTCCAGAAACTAAATTTGTTAAAGCCATCGTGAATAGCTGCATTCAACACTACCATGACAATTGTTTACCAACAATTTTTGTTTATAAAAACGGTCAGATAGAAGGCAAATTCATTGGAATTATAGAATGCGGAGGGATAAATCTCAAGCTAGAAGGTAATGATGTTATTTTAAAAATTTGTCTGTAAAAAAAGAGGTGAAAACTTCACTAAATTAACAAATATCATGAAAGTTTAATTCCATCAGACATAAGGTTTTTTCCCTTTTCTTCCAGTCTCTTTTTGTATGCCTCCAGATTAATTTCCTACAATAATACTTTTATCCTAGCACCCATTTGCTTAAATCCTTATTGGTTCCTTGCCTCAAATAAGTTAAAAATTCAGAATTTTCTGCCTGAGAATTTCAGACCACTTATCTAACTATATTTCTCAATGCTTTCTTGTTTCTGTGCCACCAGGCTGGTCTTCAGCCACTACCCGGGACACTCTAGTTTGTTCCTTTATACTTTGTTTCATACTCTTTCGCTGTATCCCAAATACCCTACTCTTCTTTATTCCTGATACCAAATCCTATTCCTTCATGGGTCTCCCAGTTTTCCATTTATCCCATGATATGATTTTGGACCAATTCATTATCTGCCTTCCTGTTCTCTACTAAATTTCTATAGCATATATTCCCTATAAAACTTACTTTCACTTATCCACATTCTATCTGATTTTGTTGGTTAATTAATTCCCTTTGAACTTTGTCTTCCTAACAGGTGTAAGTGCCATCCCTCCTATCATTTTCTTTTTCATAGTACATAACACATTTTTACCTTCTTTAATGATTTTTACTTCCTGACCTAGTTTTGATGCCATATCCTTTATCAAGGATTAATTTCATATTATAAAAATCTTTTTCTTACCGTCATGTTAAAGCCATTGTGAAGAGTTCTTCTTAACAGCTAGTTTATCTACTCTTTTGTTCCCTTAAGACTTTTTGGCCTTACTGGTACCTCCAGTACTTTAATTGTTCCAGAATTACTCTCTTCCCTTCTCCTAGTCTCTAAGGCCCTCTTTGTTTTATTACCCTGTTTTTTCAGCTTGGACCTCATTTCTTTATTAAAAATTTTTTTTTCAATAATAGGAAAAACAATAATGTAGCAATCATTCATGTAATTACCAAAAATAACAAATGTGAACATTTGTTCATGTTTGCTTCAGCTATTTTTTTAAATTGCTGAAATAGACATTACAGATATAGTTGAAGTTACTTACATTTCCATTCCTAGTACCATTCCCCTCTCTTCCTCCCTAGAGGCAATCACTATCATGAATAATGTGTTATCTGGTCCATGCTCTTTTATTAGTTTGTTAAAAAAATTTTAAATTGTCATAAAATACACATAATATGAAATTTACCATCTTAAACATTTTTAAATATATAATGCAGTATTATTAACTATAATTACCATGGTGAACATTACATATCCAGGACTTTATTTTATAAATAAATAAATAATTTAACCATTTTAAAGTATATAGGTCAGTGGAGTTATGTGCATCCACATTGTTTGCTGCCACCACCATTATCCATCTCTAGAACACTTTCATCTTGCATAACTGAAACTCTATACCAATTAAACAATAACTCCCCATTCCCCTCTCTCTCTAGCCCCTGACCATTACCATTCTACTTCCTGACTCTATGAACTTGACTACTCTCAATATCTCATATAAGTGAATCGTACAGTATTTGTTCTTTTGTGACCGACTTATTTCACATAACATAATGTCCTCAAGGTTCTTCCATGTTGTAGCATGTATAGGGTTCCTTCCTTTTTAAGGCTGCATAATATTCCATTGTATGTTTATACCATATTTTGTTTACTCATTTATCTGTTGGTGGATGCTTGGGTTGATTCTGTCTTTTGGCTATTGAGAATAATGCTGCTATGAACATAATGTACAAATAATCAGTTCTAGCCCGGCATCAACCTAGGATCCAGGAGATCGAGGTTCGATTCCCGGTCAGTAGTGTGTGAGAGGCAGCCGACCAATGACTCTCTCATCATTGATGTTTCTGTCTCTCTCTCTCCCCCTCCTTTCCTCTCTCTGAAATCAATAAAGATATGTTTAAAAAAAAAAAAATCAGTTCTAGTCCCTGCTTTTAATTCTTTTGGGTATAAACTTGGAAGTAGAATTGCTGAATCATATGGTAATTCTATTTTAATTTTTTGAGCAACAGCATACTCTTTTCACACTAGCTGTACCATTTTATATTCCCACCAACAGTGTATAAGAATTTCAGTTTCCCCACATTCTCTCCAACACTTGTTATTTTCTGTTCATTTTTAAAAATAGTAACCATCTTAATGTGTGTGAGGTGTTTTTCCCACTGATTTTTAATGTTTCCTATGTTATTTTTTATGGTTCAAAAATGCTTCAGTTTGTTTTTGAAGTCTCTACTGTGTCTCACTGGTCTATTTGTTTATCTCTGAATCCATATAGCATGGTCTTAATTACTATAGCTTTATAATAATCTAGTTGTCTCTAGTAGGGCACGTCTTTTTCAAAATTTAATATAAATGTTGGAATTAGTCAAGTTTGTGGAAAGTCTTGTTGATTATTTATTAGATTAATTGTTGGAGACTTGATATCCTAATAACAGTAGGTATTCCTATCCACGAATGAGATATATGTTGTCATTTATTTTGGTCTTTTATAATTTTCCCATAAACATAATATGTATATATTATATATTGTAATGTAATATATTTTATAATTTTCCTTATAAATATTCTATTACTTAGTACTTAGGAATAAATTTGATAAAATGATGAATTTGCAGGGATGGGGGAATTTTGGGTTATCAACTCAATTCTTTTCAGTTTTCTCTTGGATATATTTTGGTTTTTCATATTTTTGTTGAAATTTTCCCATTAAAGTTTTCAAATGTATTGGCACTAGTTTTTTCATAAGTTGTCTCAGAGCTTTAAAATCTTTACTTTGTTTATGTCCCATGTCAATTCTTGATATTATTTGTGTGTTTTTTTTCCTTTTCTTGCCATAATTTTTGTGTGAGGTGTGTCTGTTAGTTCTTTCAAGCTACCAGTGTTTGATTTTGTCGGTCACCTCTACTTTTGTCTTCCTACTTTTGCTAAAGTCTTTTCTTCAGTATATCCCTCTTTCTGAAAATCTTGGGTTTACTTTATTGTTCTTTTCCTAGCTTCTTGATTTGAACTTTTATACCACTTATTTTCAATCATTTTAAAATAAAAATCTTAACCATAATTTCTCCTTTTAAGTATAATTTTGCTGTATCCAATGCATATTTTGATACTGTACTGCTTTCATTGGCATCCAGTTCTAAATATACCTTTTCCACATTAATTTTATAAGAGTCAGCTCTGTTTCATATAGATGAGAAATTCTTCTTTTCATGTTTCTAAGATTTTAATCTAATTTAATGATGGGTTACTTATTGCAGAACTTGAATGGAAGCTAGCAGAAGTTGGAGCAATACAGACTGATTTGGAAGAAAACCCCAAAAAAGGCATTGTAGATGTGATGGTATCTTCAATCAGAAACACTTCTATTTATGATGACACTAATAGTTCAAACAGTGATGATGATGATACCAAATAGAGGAAAATAATTAATAAATCGCTTTAAAGTGTTTATGTACTGAATGTTTTATTTGTCACTACCTTTATAATAAGAGATCAGAAAATTTATAGATTTCTTTTCCGTTTCATGTTAGAATTATAGCTTAGACATCGTTTCAAAAACTTTCAGGTATTTCAGAAATTGCCTCTAACAGAACCAGAATTTATACTGAACCTTTAAATTATTTTTCTGTGGCTTATCGTTTTTCTGACCCATGTTAGACAAAAACACTGATATTACAAGTCCTCTGTGTTGCCTACTCTCTTCTAAAGAGAGGCCTATGAATGAAAATGATGAAAAAGAACCATGAAATTTCATTGAATTTATGATCATAAATTTTAAAGTCTATTATTTAAGGGCCTTGAGTGAAAATACTTACATTTATAACCATATGCTTTTTCTTTGAAATTTCTTACCTATTAAAAAAATTAACCACTCAATATAAAAATGCAATTTAAAGATTCTAAAAATTACATAAGAAACATATCCACTTATTATTGTTTTTACTAGTTCTATTATTGTTAGAAAATTAATAAATATCATCATTAATAGATGCTAAAATCATTAGAACTGTATGACACGTAAGTTTCTAAATCAGGAGAAATGAGAAAAATATATTGTGACGCCTACCTATGGTTTAATAGTTATCCCAGAAAAATTCATCATGAGAAAACATACAATATTAGGGTACTGCAGATGACCTGCAGGATATTTTATCTTGGCTTAACAATGAGCACCATTTTTAGAGAAAATGGTGGTAAATCCAGCATGTAATAGTTCAATAACAGATTTTGGTTTTTTTATTTGTTCATATTGATGACCCATCATTTTGATTATGGTTGTTTATTGATTTTGTGAGAGAATCTAGACTAAGTGATTTGATTACAGAATGATTCGATTACAAAAGTAAATTGGTGAGAATTGAAGCAGTTTAACATGGAGCCAAGAAAAGTCCCACTGCTGTTCTTGGGAGTAGGTAGGGGTCACAGAGGCTGCACAGAATGATGAAGTGGAAGAAAAGTTAAATACAGATTTGAGTAAGGTATTGATAATTTATTTCACCAGGTAGGGTAAAATCAAATGATCTAACTTTGGAAAGAATTAGGAAGATCCCTTTCTTCTGAGATAGCAAAGAAGGGCTCTTGAAAATATACAGCTTGTGATAAAGGGAAGGAAAGTTGGGAGTTGCACACCATGGTCTTTATTTTAGCATTCTGCACACATACAAGAGAAATAATTACCTACTGGTCCAATTCCTAATGCTTTCTTTAACAAACAAATGGATAAATTTCTGTTCAAGATAAAACTGTTGTGGAAATGAAAAGCCATGCAGTCATAAACTTAAAATGTAACTTTAATGCCATCTAATGCATATAAATATGAACATTATTTTCCCCTCCAATTGAAACCAAAGGCAGGAAGTTCTCCTAAATGTAATCCTATATTTTTAGTAAATCTATATCTATTTTCTTTTTTAAATTAAAATGAACAGAGGAAGTACTAATGAATAGTATTTGAGATATCTGAATTAAAAGATTCATATTTCCCTTTTAACTCTTAACTCAAATCCACCAGGTGGCAGTAAGTTTTATCCACAAGCACAATTCCTGAAGACTTTAACATTTGTAAAAATCCTAAAAATATAGCATGTTAGAGGTGGCTGGTTGTGATTCCAGCCCCAGCCTCTTTCAAATGCACGCTCCACCCCCACCCC